AAGAGCGGAAATACGTGACGAAAGAGGAGCGAGCGACTCGAGCCTTAATTTGAATTCCGAGTGAATTGAGTTTGGTCGAGCTCGAGAGTCATCCGATTCTGTCGAATAACACGGACGCATCAAGGACGCATCTTATTCGAGATCGAATATTTTTACGAGGTCATAAATCAATAACGCGCGCGTATCCGATGATGCAATCGTTCGGCGATTCTGTTCGCGACGCCGTTACTTTTTTCTGACGATCGATAATCATCCACGATTCACGTTGAAATCGCGATTGATGCAAATTTCTGCAAACATTGAATTAGGCCAAATTTCGACGTATGAATACCAGTATTTTAAAAATTCCGTCATTTTATATTACAGCCTCTATTTATCTTTTTTCCTACTCCGTAAATGTGATAGTATTGGACACAGTAACATTCCACAGTATGATTGATAGTCGTTCTCACGAGGGGAAAATTTGATATTAAAGCGAATGCAAGCGGAACAGCTAAAATTCTTGCAATTCGTGCATTGTCAGCTGGAGGCTCATCAGCGCAATCCCGCAACATTGTGACACACGGATTTGTATGTTCTATTCTCATGAATTAATTCGCTCCCTCTCTCGCGCGTAATCTATCGATCTGCAAGCATGCAAGCCAGCCGAGCTTGTTTTACTACATGAATTCATCATTAATCCTTGCAGTTCGATTATTCTCGCCAGCCATAAGCGCAATGTGTGATCGCCCCGCTTCAATTACCTCTAATTCCGCAATGTATTCCACGTCATTCGATTTGAACATTGGCCGGGAGGTCGCAAAGTGCGAGTTTGGCGTCTCTCGCGTGCCCCGATTTATTGGGCGGCCTCAAAAATTTCCGGTAAATAATACTGCGACGTAAAAAATATGTACATAACTTTAACATTACAGAAGAAAGATTTTTACTCACTTTGATATTCGTTATCGAGATATACGCAGTTGAAGCGAGGCAAGACCGAGTAACGTAGACCAGAGTTATGTCAGACAAGTGGCCTATCGTCGCGTCGGCACCGTTGTTCGCCTCTGCGGCGAAGGACAAAACTACTTCAAAGACACGGGTGCGACACGATGTCGCAAATTAAGGCGGAACGACGGCCAAGAGAGAGGCCGCGTGCTTCCCCTTACTTGTTCCAAGAAACCGGTAGACCGGATCCCTCCCTCTTATGCATCCCCCTTTTCCTCCCCCGTCCTCTTACGCCCACTTGTCCCGTTGGGATTTTCCAGAGACGCGTCTCGCCGGGCGCAGCGATAAAGGTCAGACTTGCGTTAGACTAGAGGGAATACCGCGACTAAGTTGGTCCGGTGATTCACGGAAGATCGATGAACGTCCTGGCCCGCGGAGACCAGTGCTTTTTTTCCGCGAAAACACAACTCGCGGAAAAACCCCGGGTTAACATCAGTATCGCGTCCGTTAGAAAGAAATTGCGATACTCTTGAAAGCAATTATTCCTGCTACTATTATCATTATTCTATCATCAATAAAGAATTATTTAATTATTTCATAATTATAATTTCAATCATAATTAAGAATTCAAATTGACATGATAGTCTCTTCTTCAAATTTGAAGTATTTTTATGAAAAGATTTAATCATACACCTAATCACTATTTCCTTTTTACAATTTCAACGTGACTTGCATATTGCTATGCAGCTTTATATGCAGCGCAGAAATTATTTACAGAATATACAATACATCTAGTGGACGAGAAGATGACCAGTTCTTTTCTTTTTATAGATCTCCATCTTTTTAAAAGAAGGAGTCTATAGAGGAACACTAGTCCCGAGGCAATGCGGATACAAGTAGCAGAACAGCAACGCCGGACGGAAGCTCAACTGATTACTTACACGACACTAAGCGAGACTTCTTCAAAGGCGACGAGTGCACGCTGTCTCAAATTAAAGAGGGACGACCATGACTCTCTCTCTCTCTCTCTTTCTCTCTTGTTCGTTACTACCGTCTATCCGCTGTATCCGCGAAGCAACCCCCGAGGATACCACAAGCCTTTGGTCCTCTGTTGGTCCACTCTATCCCTGCCTTTAAATGTAAGTTACGGACTTTGCTAGGATGTAAGTTTTAAGTGATGTACCTTTGACTACCATCTACCTTGGCTAAGCTCGCGAGCACAAAGAGTTGCTGTCAGAGAGAAGGGAAGAGAGAGAGAGAGAGAGAGAGAGAGAGGGAAGGAGAGGAAAGAGAGAGAGAGAGAGAGAGCAAGGTGAGGAGCATCAAAAGGATCTAAGTAGTAAGGTAGGTACCTAGAAGAGATACCGCAAATTAATACTATGCTACACTAGCGGATAAAGTTTTCTAATACCAACTGCATCTTTCTCAGACTTTCTAGATAAATGTCATTTAGTCGAATTCCCTGGATACAGAAAACGCTATTGTCTAGAAAAATAAAAGCTTTTTTATGGAGATAAGACGACAAAAATGAAAGAACAAAAATTATACGAGCAAAGACAAAGAAATAAAAATACATAAGTATTATCGGTATTTTCTCTTTTCTCTATTATATTGAGAGAGAGAGAAAATGTTATTTTTTGTTAAATTTTATTATATTGGAACATTATTTAAATTATATTGTTGTTAGATATATTTTTGACCTTTGATTAATTATTCATTAATTTAAATTATATAACAACTATTTTAGATTTTCGCTAGTAAAACTTCGTAGAAGCATTGTTTTAAGAGTATCAAAATATTCACCGCGACCGTTAATAATACGTTTATACAAGGCTGTTGTATCGACCATTTAGATCGTCTATGATATGCATGCAATGTGAAATAAAATCGTTCTACAAAGTAGCGTAACGGTCGCGATTATTGTACAGTCACGAAATGCTATTAAAAGTATAATATGGCAACAATATAATTATTTACCAACAGATAAGAGAGTCATTTAGTTTAATAAAATTCACGTTATCTATTGAGAGATACGAAAAGTTATAAAAGATTTTTAAACAGATTTTTATATATTCGCTATATTTAAATTTTAATATTATCAAATATTAATATTAAGTTATCTTAACTAATGTTATATTAATATATAATTAAGAAATTTCTCCTATTTTAAACGTAAAATCAACGTAACAAAAAGATTTGCTGTACCTTCGATTAAATATATAAAATAATGAGTACGATATGTAATTCGTTCTCGGTTTCTGTCAAAGTTTCAGCTACGTTGCGCAATAATTAATATCACAACACACACGCAAGCATATAATCAAATATACGATATTCTAAACTACACCTCGATATTAATATTCGATATCCCATAAAGTTATAGTTCATCAACACGTCATATCACCCTTCTACCTTCTCTTGCCCTCTGCCCCCTTCCCCCATCCCCCTGCTTTCATTACTCCTTATAGCAAAGCGACGACGCGGAACGATCGATCGGTCATTCGTTCGGTCGTCGCGTTTCGGTCGCCAAGCTAGCCGGAATTCTCGCGAAAGAATTGCATCCAACAAAAATTATTCAGCGTCGCTTGGAAAGGCTCTCCAGTCGACGGTAGAATACATAAATCTGTCGGTGCAGCGTCTTTGTCGGCGAGGCACGAAGCGACGTAACGATAACGCGACCAGTAAAAACGGCCATCCGTTGCATTGCGACGCCATTATCAGCGCCAGGACACGATACCCGCTTTGACGATTTTCATTTCCCGGTTTTTATTGGTTCGTTAAAAGTTACGTTCGCGCCGTCATTTATGCCTGATTAAAGTTTAACTTGATTCGCAGTGCTGCGCAACCCCCGCACGAGCCCTTTCTTTTCCCCTCAACTCTCATTCTGTAGACATTTGTACAAACTGCTCCTATAAAGGACACACATTTTTGTTTGAAATTGTAAACTGCATATATGCGATGTAAAATCTCTCTGGGCAAATTTTACTACATCGTAGTTTTTTATTTTAACAGAATATATAAAATTTTTTAATTTAAGAAGAGACTAGAGTAGAATCAAGTAAAAATATTTAAGAGAAAATTATAATATATATACTTATTAATAACTTATGCTAATATATATTTTTCTAAAAAAAAAAAAAATATTTTCCAACAGAAACAGTTTTAAAAAAATCAAGCATATCTTTTACTCTTATATTTCATATATTAAATACATATTTTTTTGCATTTAAATGCTGATACTTTAAAATATTCTCGAAAGCACCGGAACTCGAAAGGCGCGCGTGCTCTCACGTTTCTTATAATGCTTATTGATCTCTCAATTTTGGCAAAGCTAATGCTCGGGAAACGCATTAACTCTGTTATTTACGGCACGCTTTGGAGAAATGATGGCAGATTATTAAAACTGTCGACTCTTCTTTAGACTCGAAATATGTATTTCGGGAATTGAGTAATCAAGATAATTTTTCTGGAATCAAATTTTTCAGGTAATCTTCGCCGTCAAAGCTTTTAAAATATCAAATCGAATGAATTACATTATTAATAAAACGATGTAAAAATTGAAAATGATGTAATTACGTACAATTATCTTTGAAAATAACATTATTTACAAGCTCTCTTCAAAAATAGTCTTACATACGATTTTAAACCTTTTTAAATTTAAAAAAAGTATTTTTATATCAAATAAAAAAGATCATTTCTCTTCTATTGATATATTTATAAATGTTTCGAATAGAATTGCTAGAACGTAAAAAGGAAATAGAAAATGGCCAGAGAACTGACCAAAGATAGCTCTTGTTTTCTTGAATATATTTTCCCTCATTTTAGTGTCAAATCAAACGTAACACGATAAAGTGACATTATCGAGCACGGATTCTTGCATAGCGGTGTTCGGTTTCGGGAATCTTATATCGAACATCGATAATGCATTATCTGCTAAAATAAGAATCGAGCTTCAGTGACTTCTATGAAACCAGCACTTCATTTTTAGAATTTTTATGTAATTGATAGAATTATAATCTAAAAAATATTTGTTTTCTCTAGAATGTATAAAAAAAATTCTACCAATAAATGCAAAATGATAAAGATTCAAAGATATGTGATATATCAATCTCACATTTTCGTTACATGAAAGTTAGTAACTAATCTTTTCATTCCGATTAAAATCGATTTTGTTCATAATACTTTTCAATAGAATCTTTTTTAATAATATTTATCTAGATCTTAGAAGAAAAGGCCAGATTTTGAAGAAAAATGTTTAACTTACGGAGGCTTAAAAACATTTCCACTCAAAAGAAATCTCTGAAAATTTTTGGAACTTTTTAGCTTTTGCTTTTATCGTTTTGAGTGCTAAAAAAAATAATCGTTAAAATTTTTGAAGGACTTTCTATAATTTTATTTCTATGCACGTCACACACATACACACATGCACACATATATATATATTGTCATTCAATATTTATTATTGAAAAGAGATAAAGCACGAAGATATTTGAATATGGTTTATATTGGAGCAACAGGTAAAAAGCTCTGGAAATTGGTTAGGCAGGCAAATTCAACAGGCACAACGACGGCACGTATAACGTGTCCACGAAGCGATCCCTATAAATATGTATACATTCTCAGGTGTAATTTCTTACACGTGTATGATAACTTCGGCAATGCAAAACACCGGTATGCATTAAAGTTTATCTAGTCGCATGAATACATGAAAATATTATATACATTGTAGAATGTATCTTTAATATATCTTTAACTACACAGATAGATATATATATATATATA